ATTTGTTTGTTTGTTTTCTCCTTTTTTTCGAAATTGGCGTGTTTCCATTAAGCTAATTCATTTTCGTAATTTCAATTTGCGCAGTGTTTTGGTTGATGGAAACGCAGCCATTTACTCATCCATCTTCCTGGTCCATCGTTGCAGTCTTTCCCTCAGTGCTTCTATCTTCAGCAGTATTTTGCGCTCCACGCTGTTAACGTCCAGCTTTGCTCGTTTAGTGAGAGCGTCTTCGTTCACTTTTCGTCCTTCCAATTCAGTCTCCATCTTACTGCTAGCAGTCCCTGGACTTTGTGTCATCATGGAGAGTTCATGTTCAAGCTAAAAATGACACACAGTGCGGTGAAAATGACGTATTCCTATAGTGCTTAAAAATAAAACCTATTTTTTTCCACACCAGATCCAATTTATAGTTTGAATCTGGCTTTTTCTCTCCTTTTCTTTTTTAAAAAATAAATTACAAATGATAGCTTTTGTTTCACTCATCCCTTATGCGAATTGTACAACGGAGAATTAGGGCCATGCTACGAGAATTTTTGTTAAATTACGAGAAAATAGTCATTATATTAACAGTAAAAACACAATTTTATCAGAAGAACGTATTAAATTACAAGGAAAAAGTCATATTAAGAGAAAGCTTAGATAAAGTTATCACAATCTAACATATTCAGATCAGTTCGTGTGGTTCTGTCTTCAAAATATACATTCGTTTGCTCAATCGTTTCAAAATCCTGCTACTGATAATACTGCTGACTATGTGTTAAAAGATTTAATATTCCCTTATCTGTAAAACTCACAAAAAGCTCAGCATTCCTCTTTTTTGTGTGTGATTTTTTTGTGTAGGAATTCTCATAAAAATATGACTTAATTCTCTAGTGTTAAGATTTTATTCCAGTAATATTTTGACTTTATTCTTGTATTATTTCAACTCTATTGTCATACAAATTTATTCTTGAAACATTATGACGTTATTCTTATGATTTAAGATGACCTGAATTCAAAGTCTAAATAAAACAAGATGGCCGCCCTGGGCGCTCTGACATCTGAACTATGGAAAACCAAGAAGTGCATTGGAGAAAAAAAATCCAGATTTTCCAAAAATTAAATCTTCAAAAACCCAAAAATGTGACAAATTGACCAAATTAGTTTATCATCCAGGATTACTTTTAAAGAGCTTCTGTATTTTTGTCATACACTTGTTTCAAATCATCGTACAAATCATAATGTGAGACAAATATAACTTGAATAAGAAAGATTTCAGAAATACAAGTGGAAACAGCCCAGATCAGTGGAACCAGATGATTAATTTCACCTGTAGGTCAGATGAAGCCGCTGCAATAATTATTTAACAGTGCTTACACTTTTGAGGGTGTGACTGAGAGTCCGGATGCATTCCTCAGGCAGCTTCATCAAACATTTCTTCCTTTCCTGAAGAGCAACCTGGGTCTCTCTCAGGTTCCTTTGAGCAAGGCGAACACGCATGTTGTAATACATCAGTTTCTTCATAACTGCAGACTTCAGAGGAAAGAGGCCAAAATAAAAATAACAATAAAATGTGCATCAATTAAATAAATCAAATGTTTTGCCTCTCATTAGTTGAAGATTATAGCAATAAACGCTACATTATATCCCCACAGTGCTGTGACTAATGGTTATTTTGGCAATCGATTAATCTGATAAAAAATTTGGCATGTTCATCAAATTTTTAATTTAACCACTTAGGACTATTTATACAATATTAGAAATACAAAATAAATAATTTTATTTCTTTTTTTTAATTTGAAACAAGAAAATAAACATTTTATTTCCTAAAATGCAATAATAAAAAATAACTTTCAACATCAACATTTTAACAGAAGACTCAGCCCTTTCTGTTTGACCTAACAACAACACAATGTATGGCTGATCTGTTATAATCAGCCCTACATTGATTATACAACTGATTAATAATTGGAAACGAAAAAGTGATTGATATTTTTTTGTCCTAAATTTTAGCTAAAAATGCCACTTTTCAAGTTCTGTGTAGAACATATTTATAGACAAAGATTATCATTTTATCTTAAATGGCAAATATTAACTTTTTTACATTTTTGGATTAATCACTGCTAAGACTGTGTTGTTCTTTCAGCATATTGCCTTTTCTTAAGTCTGAATACCTCAGTTAATTAATAAAAAAATGAGTTGATTATTTCAAAAACCGATTAATCACGATTAATCCAATTAATCGTTTCAGATGGGAAACAATCAGTGAATTGTGTAAAATCAACAATGTTCCATCATTCAGTGAGTCTTACACTTTATATCATAATGCAATTTTCTTTTATATGTTCATCTTTAAAATGCCGATGTTTGGTTTCCAATTTATGGTTTTGTCAAGTGTTTACACGCTTAATCACAACCCCATCAACCCACCAACAGATAGGTTGGAGTCTCTCCATCTTAATACCTCAGCAGTATCCTTGATTTGTTTGCAGGAGACATCCCAGTTGTCTAGTCGCTCCAGGCCGGGCATGTGATAAAGGATGTGTATACCGTAGTTGCACAGCTGACACACAGGGTTCGAAGCCGAAGTGGGGTCGTTCAGAGCTAGCTCTTTCAAACGGGGCAAACGGGCCAGGTGGGTCAGTTCCTGTTGGATCAAAACACAAAGACCAGATAAAAGATGAGACTTCTGTTCTCCATCAGGTTAATTTGTTCTTAAAGGTGACCTACACAAAACATCTTTCTTATGTTTTTGCACAAAATCATTTTTAGATAAAGAGATTTTATTCTGTCTAGTTTGTGCTGTTTTAGGGCCTCTTCTAAACCAGTTGACTGAACATGCTGGAGTTCCGCTTGGGTTGCTAGGTAACAGGCTGGGCTTGGCTGGGGGTGCTAAGTAACGGCGCAGTGCCCATGTACTGTGACTCAACAAAACAATAAATCAGAATCGGAATTCCTTTTAATGTCATTAAGCACGAATAAAACACAGCGAAATTTAAAAAATAACTACTCCCAAAGAAACACAGAACAACTGGGATGTTAAGAATAAATTTAATAAGTACATAAATAAATACCTATCAGGTTTTAGATGGATTTGCTGTGTTCAGTGAAACAACAGCTCTTGGCAGAAACTGTTTTTTTAGTCTGTTTGTCCTTGATTTCATACATAGTTCCCAGAAGTCTGCACCGGAAGTGGTCCGTAACATCTTAGCAGGCAAGCGCATGCGCAATGGAAAGCGGACCCATGGCTTCCAAACCAACAAAAAGAAAATATGTGGACACTCAACCAATGCGCGAGAAAATGATACATTAAAATGGCTGCTGTTAGGAACGACCCGTATGAGACGGAGAAGAAAAATATGTGAACAAGCTACCTCAGGTCTCATACTACTGTATAGTTAACTACTCGGTGAACACAAAGAGTGCGTATATCATGGAGGAGTTTTACGGCCTGAAATCTATGGACGCATACAATCAATGCTTAAACAGATTTGTAAAGGACGTTCAAACTCTTCAAGTGAAAAATAAGTTTCCGGTGACCGGCAGAGTAAGTACATACGTAGGCTACATGTCCGTCTTAGCTAGCAGGTAAAAACAACATTAGCTAAGCTAATATTGCTATTTCAACAGTACGTACTACAGAAAAAATCACATATTTATCTTAGACAGGTAGATATACAGAGGTGAGTAAAATACTCAAAAACTATAATCGAGTAATACTTGTAAATTAAAGTACTTATTCAAAAATTAGATAGGGACGAGGCGAGAGCTAATTCTAAGCTTGTGGTTTGTTTATTGTTGTCATAGCAACTCCATAGCAACTGCCTGCAAAGATTCCTTTTTTTTTTTTTTACTTTATTTGTTACAGTAAACAACAACACCACTGTGCTGCGTAGCTAAGATGGCTGTTAGCTACAAAGTTCACAGAAGTGTGGTGTCACATGAGAAATATATATTGCCAAAGAACAGCTGGGTGTTGTTTTTTTTTTTTTTCAAGCACTTTGGCTGTTTTTAGAAAAAGTTAAGTACCAAATAAAAATATAAAAACAAACAAAATGTGATTTTTCTCTGTGTGTGTGATTTCAGTCAATTCCAGGTTTATTCATAAAACAATACAAATAAATATATTGGTATATAACAAATGTAATTTTAAATTTTGTGCAAACATGGTTTTTAAATCAATGTGGGAACCAGTATGTACCCTCTGTTTTGCTGGATGCACGCTGGAAACTCAGTCTAAATATCAGAGAGATGCTGTTAGATGCAAAAAGACATTCTTGGAGTCTGCGGTGAAAAGAGATGCCACACTGAGCTGACAAAGGGACTGAGATGTTTTTCTTTGACCCTGCAGTTATTAAACTTGTCTCTGCACAGTCAGACAATAATTACATTCCTGCAAGCGAAGCTGGAGCAGGAGAAAAGGTGAGCTTCGAGAAAAGAGCTGCGGCGTGAAGCCGATCGAATCAGGATCAACAAAAATTTGTGTTCTGTCGAAATGACCTTGTTATGTTAGAAACAACGACTGTGCTTTAAAAAACAAGGGTCTATGCAGCTGAATGCATGTGAAAATGCCAAGATCATGTAAACCTTTAGGAGATTTTAGCTATTTAATAAAAGTTCTTTATTAAAAACCTCACCATTCTGCTCAGCAAAATCAGTGTAAAATTCCTGAAATATCGGAAAATCTCATCTAACAAAGACCAAAACAGCTCAGTAGAAAAGTAATTCTGGTTTCTAATAAAACAGAGGCATGTAATATAAGCCCCTATATAAAAAGAACAACCTTTTATTCTTTTGTTTTAGACCAAAAAGGTTATTTCACTTCATAACATCTGAAAAATAAGAGAGTGGCACACCTGCTGGTGGGGACAAAATTAAGTCCAGAATGAAGAAGGGAAAAAAATTATATATATATATATATATATATATATATATATATATATATATATATATATATATATATATATATATATCTTTGTGGCATCGATTCAAAAGGTATTGGAAACATTCCTCAGAGAGTCTGGTGTATTTGACATGATAGCATCGTGCAGTTGTTGCTGTGGATTTGTCGGCTGCACATCCATGATCTGAATCTCCGGTTCCACCACATCCCACAGCTGCTCTATTGGACTGAGATCTGGCGACTGTGGAGGCCATTCAAGTTCAGTGAACTCATTGTTCAAGAAACCAGTCTGAGATGATTGGTGCTTTATGACATGGCGTGTTATCCTGCTGGAAGGATCCATCAGAAGATGGTATACTGTGGTCATAAAGTGATGGACATGGTCACCAGCAACACTCAGGTGGGCTGTAGCGATGAGACGTTGATCAGTTGGTACTAATGGGCCCAAAGTGCCTGGAAAATATCCCCCACACCCAGGGGCGCAACTACACATTATTCAGGTGGATGCGAAAACATAAATCGGCACTCCTCCCCTCCCCAAGAAGAAAGGTGATTACGTTCTGATGCTCATTTTGATCTACAGTGGATCGTCTTGGCCATGTATACATGCCTAAATGCATTGAGCTGCTGCCATATGATTGGCAGCAGCAGTTGGACAGGTGTACCTAATAAAGTGACCAGTGAATGTACACACACACACACACACACACGTTTGCGCGGCTGTCTTTGTGGGGACTTTCCACTGACATTCATTAATTTCTACAGCCTAAACTTTACCTTTGTCCAAACCCAAACCCAAACTCAATTCACACCTTCGTCCTAAATCTGATCCCTGACCCAAAAACCGTGTTTCCCTTTGGGGACCAGGCTTCGGTCCCACAAGAGCACTGGGTCCCCACAGTGTAGAATATCAGGAAAATGGTCCCCACAAGGTAATGCAGACAAACGCACACGCACACACAAGCACACACACGCAAGCACGCACACACACACACACACACACACACACACACACACACACACACATACAAAGACTTGCATCTTTACAAATTACTGGGATGCTGAAATTATAAGCCACACTCCTGTGCTCTTGCTGCTAAAGAAATTATCTGAAAAATCTAAACTGACCAAGACCCCCGACAAATATTTTGAGATGCCCTTTTGTGAAACCAAGGATTTTAATAAGATTTTAAAAAATAAGTAAGCATACTTTTAGGAGAAAGAATCTGAAGGATATGTTTTGGTTTTCAGTCTCACCTTAAAGGAGCTGATCTTGTTCCCGGACAGATTGAGAATCTCAAGGTTGACATTGGGATCAAGGTCGTGGCCTAAAAGAGAGAGAAATGAAACAAATATTCAATTATTTTTTTTCTCAAAAAGCTCCATCAAACGTTACAAAGAGGAAGGGATTCAGCAGGCTCACCGATCTTTTCAATGAAGTTATCAGAAAGGTTTAGTTCCCTCAGATTCTTCATCAAATTCAGGCCCTTTGGGGATAAAGTACAAAGCAGTCAAACAAAACAGAAAATAAAATTCAGGCAGACAGAAACAATTCATTGTTCCAACCTGAATCTTCGTGATGCAGTTATTATTGAGCCACAGATTCGTCACGTTGACTTGCAGCTCTAAATTCTTTATTTCTTGTATCTGATTGTCATACAGGTAGAGTCTTTCCAGCAGGTTACAGTTCTGCAGGCCGGATATCTCCTGCAGTAAAGACGAATTATTATCACTCCATGCTGGTAAAATGTTCTGATCTCAACATTTCACCCAATAGAAGCACCTCTTTACAGGATCACAGACAATTATAATTTTGATCATTGGGTTTAGGTCAACTGGTGCTTCAATCATCTCGTCTTTAATTTATATTCATTTGGTTTTGCCCTATTCTATTAATTCTAAGACAATTAATCATGATTAATCAATTTTCTAAACTAATTTAATAATCAATTAATTGCTAAAAAAAAGTCAATTTGCTGACAGAACAACATGTTCAGAGCAAGCTTTGGTCAAAACTGCGAAAATATATACTGATACATTTTGTATTGAAGAATGAATATCGCTAAAATCTCCTTGAGGATATTTCTTCTACCACAAAT